CAGCCGAGCACAGCACAGACAAAGCGCGGACACAAGGCCTCGCGCCCACCCGCCAGCGCACCCCGCGCCGCACGCCCCGGCCGCCCGTCGGCACTTCGCCCCTTCAGGGGTCGCTCCCCCGGCCGAGCCGCGCTCCCTCCCTCCAGCTTCCCCCACCTCCCGACTCCCGCCAGGGAAAGAGGTGGCGAGGGGACGCGCCGCCGCGAGGAGGGGAGGCCGAAGGCCGCGCTGCCTACCCCCGCAGCAGGAAGGGGCGCGGGCTCCCAGCGGCCGCCCGGCGGAGCCGCGTCCCTCGGGCAGAGGCTGGCGGTGGGGCCGGGCCCGCTAAGCAGCGGCCCGCGGGCGGCGGGGAAGAGCGCGGCCCGGCGGCGCGCGGCAGCCGTTACCGTGCGGGCGGGAGGCGGCTGGCGGGGTTGCTAGGCGCCCCGCCGCTCGCGCCCGGCGGCGTTCCGGATGACGGGCCGAGGCTCCGCGACAATAAACATCCCCCAGCGCCGCGGGCATAGACGCGACGCCGGCTAGAGCGGCCACCGGAAGTCGCTGCGGCGGGAGGGGAGGAAGGGGGCTGCGCCTGCGGCGCACTTCCGGTGTCGTGTGGGGTGTGTGGGGGGTCGCCATTGGCGCGTGCTGTTGCGATAGGCAGTTGCGATAGGCGTTGTTTTTCAGCGTGCTGATAGGATCCTCCATAGTACAAAGCTGTAGTGCGAGGCCGTGGTGTTTGAGCGGAACGTTGGGCCCAAACAAAGCCGAGCCGAGAGGTCTGTTTCTTATTGGAGGGGACTGAGAGCCCCTTGAGACCTGTAGAAGGCTGTCCACCTGAGTGCTGTGTTTCTGTGTCAAAATGGTTTAAGTGAGACTGCTGCTTAAGCTCTTCCAACAGGCAGCCGGTGTCATTGCTGCAAAGTGGGTGCATGGGGCGTGCTCTGAGGAGATACCCAAGGGCTCTATGATGGCAGTTGGAGTGGCACTGGCTGTCTGTCCTGGGCAGCCCTTGGCATGTGGCATGGCCCATCTGTGCCAAGCTGTCGTTTGCCTATACTTATGTATTGTCTTTGCTGTGTGTTGTGCTTCTTAGACTCATTGAATGGCTTGGATTGGAAGGGATCTCAAAGACCACCCAGTTCCAACCCCGTGCCATGGGCAGAGCTGCCCCCCAGCAGCTCAGCTGCTCAGGGCCCCATTCAGCCTGGCTTTGAGCACCTCCAGGGATGGGGCATCCACAGCTTCTCTGGGTAGCAGTGTCAGCGCCTCACCATCCATTCAGTGAAAAATTTTCCCATCATCTAATCTAAATCTTTCCTCTTTCAGTTAGAAACCATTTCCCCTTGTTCTATCATTATCTACCACGTGATGTTTGGGAACTTTTGAATAATTGGGCTTGGGTGCGGTGGAGCCAATTGAGGGCACAGCACCTGAATGAAAGAAAATGGTCTGGTTGAGTTCATAAAGACACGTCAGTCTTTGTGAGAAATGTATATGTTTGTACATGTATTTATGGGTGTATACTGCACAGTATTGACAATTGGATTGACACTAGATTGACAATTTTCTGAGGATCTGTAACAATGTGTGAAGTGATTGTGGAATGGCTTTCATTAGGATAAACAGTATGAAAATCTTTAGAGTTGGAATGTTTTCCTCTGCTACGTTAAGTTCAAAAATTGAAATTCGTTGCTAAGTTCTCCTGATGGAAGTAATTTAGATTCTCGCAGATCGTTAACCCAGGCTTTGTCTTCCCATTAGAGGGGGCTGCGCTAACGCCACCACGCAGCAGCACTGCCACCCTGTGGCGTTTGCTGGAACGGATCCGTTTCATTTCGGTGGAGACGGTAAAATGAGACTCGCTTTTGAAAACGGCAATTCTGGATTTAGGCAACTGTTACCACAGTAATATTTTTCCTGAAGAAGAAATGAGCCCTTACTATGCCACAATTTCAACTGATTTTTCACCCTGAGCTTTCCCCGTTTGAGCTGGGATGTGTTTAAGATTTCATCTCTAAATATATGCTTGGAAAATATGCAATTTTTGAAAGTAGTTGTGATCACAGTGTCATAGAATGCAAATGATGTGATTAGGCACTATCCTGATTTTATTTTTAAGTTCATCAGTTGTGCATACCACTTTATTTCAGACTTAAACAGACAGGCTTATTACAAAGCTGATTATCTTTAGCTGTGCCACTCTTGGTAAGTGTGGTCCCAGCCAATTTCACCATTACCTTGTATTTGAGGTCTCCATCCCTGTTTGCAACTCTCTAGTCTCTGTGACTGAGGTGTTAGTGATGTCCCACCTGCAGAAACAGTGCATGCTCTAACTTCACACATGCTGTACTGACATCTCACAGGTAAGGCACTGAGGCCATTTCTGCCACTGTCTTGCTGTGTAATTTTAATTTTTTCTATGCTTTTGTTTCTCAGTCAATTGTTTGGAAAGCAGAGAGGAGATGAAGATGTAAGGAGGCTGTTTACTATGCTTGAATGTTCTGTGGTGTGGAATTGTGGGTTGCATAGGACCATGTATATGAATATGAAGACACTGCACATATTTTTGTTTGGTAATATTTTGTTTGGTAATCAAATGCAATGGGAGTGAGCAGAATGCAATTTTATGACATTGTTATTCAGATGTAATTGCAGGTGTCTGTAAAAAAAATAAAAATCATTCAACAACTTAAAGGAAATGTGTGGTTATTTGGATTTCTGTATTTTTGGATGATCCATTTCCAGTCAGATAAAATCCAATGCAAGGTAGACTGTAGGAAATTTGTAGGGTGGGATGAGAGAGCTGGAAGAGGCCCACAGTGAGGCTAGATTAGGATTGTTACGCAGCTGCATAGAACTGTGAGCTCTATGCAGAAGACTATATTCAAGCATTTGTGTCTGAAGAAGAGATACCTAGGATCAATCCATATTTTGCACATTCCATAGAAATAACATTTTCTGGAATGACCATGAGCTAAATGCATATGATATTACAGGTTAATTATGAGACAGCTGCCATGCTGACAGCCAGCAGGACTTGAGCTTAAACCTGTGGCAAGAAATCAGCCAGGGTGGGAATCCTTTGCTCCAGGACTTCATTTATCAGATGAAATTATAGACTGTGTTTTATCACACTTCTCTGATGATGAGCCCATGTACAGTATGATAACTCATGCTAGTACAGTACTATATTAAAGTGTTACCTTCTTGGCATAAGCAGCACTAAAACCAACTCTATGATACTCAAATGTTCCATCAAGTTTTATAATACATATGATTTTATATTTTTTATTCATTTTATATTAAAGAAATATACAGTTTATGAGTATATATATACTGAGTAACATAGATATGCTGCTTGATACACTAACATGAAAAAAATGATAGTGAAATAATCTAAAATAAAAGTTAAATGATCAGGATGAGGTTTTTCTTTAGTAAACTTTAAAATGATTCAATACATATCTGTAGTTTTGTCCTCTACAACTGGAAAATACTTGTAGTCTATGCTTAACAGCCTTCGTTGACAATAATAGAGAAACATGATGAAAATTGTATAATTGGAAGAAGAGCACGTTGTTGTCCAGATTGAGATCCTGTGAATGCCTGTTAGGAACTTGAGCAAGTGTTCCTTCCTGCTCTTGTATGAGTGAGAACTCTTCTCTGAGCTGTTAAACAAAGCTTCTTCCTGCATTCAGTATCTGTATTTCTAATGTTGGTTTATTGGGTTTTTCAGGAGTGATGATGAATTTTATTTGCAAGCGCATGACATCGTACAGCCCCCAGGCATCAAGCTCATAGAAAGCACAAAAACTTCACCCAGATTGTGACTCAACCTAAAGCATTACTTTGGCCCCACTGACTTGTATCCTGCCTCAGAGGAAAGATGTTAACACCTGTTAGCTGTTTCAAGCCTTTCAGCACACTTAAGCTGGTGATTATCTCAATTTTAGATCTTTACATGAAGTGTAAGTGGATCTGCTTGGCAGTAGCATGGAAGAGGTTCTTTGAGAGTACGTTATAGAATCATGACTCATAGAATGCTCAGGCTGGAAAGGACCTTAAGGATCACCAGGTTCAACCTCAACCATACTACCCTAACTCTAACAACCCTCCACTAAATCATGTCCCTGAGCACCACATCCAAACAGTTTTTAGGCATATTCAGGGATAGTGTCTCAACCACCACTCTATCCCAGTGCTTAACAACCCTTTCAGTAAAGAAGCTTCTCTTGATATGTCAAATTTAGCACTTGTGAACACACAGCTCAGGTGGAAAGGGTACTGTAGAGCTTAGTAGAGTTGAACAATAAATGAGCAGGAGTTTTAAATTTGGATATAATTTTGTTAAAATCTCATACTTCATCCTTGAACTTGGCCTCTTTCTTCTGATAAATCCTAGCCTACTTCACCTGTTACTACTAGGTACAAGACTCACATAGCAAGCGGAGTCCCCACTAAAAATTTCTAGCCCATTGGAGAAGATAGCAGGCTGATCTAGAAACCAAGTTAGAGGAGAACAGAGAATCAATGATCTTTATTATTTTAGCTTATAGGAGTACAATAATGTGGATCAATGAAACATGGTGAAAGCGTGTGGCTTATTTCTAATAGTACTTCATGGTTAGCATGGTCCTTGGCATGCTTTTGGTCTGGCTAACTTTCTCCCAGAAAATGTCCAAGCATGTTTTGGGAATAGTATGTGCCAGGAACTGTGCTCACCTTTTGCTGAGAGTGAATAAAATTTTGGTGTCTGTAGATGTGACATCTGCCTCACCCTTCGTTTTTGGAGCCCAAAATGGTCCATGGCCTGTTTTACTTGCTGATCCAAATACTATCTGTACATGATAATAAAACCTGACAGCTCTTCCAATTCCTATGTTTATGTTGATTTCAAAGAGCAAAGATATCTGGTGATTATAGAGTGTCTAAAACAGTTCATAAATTTGTGTGCCAAAAGTGTTGCTTCTAAACCTGTACCAATCTTACATGCAACCTTCATCCAGCCTCTTCTCTGCTTTTTTTTTTTTCCCTCCCCCATCCTTAGAATGATAGTGACCTCCTACAGAAAAACGTAGGGTCATGAGGTGGTGGGAAACACTCCAAGGTAACTGGAGTCTTCTGCTTAATTTCGGTGTTGTCTCTGAGGTGCCAGTGGTAAAAAGACCCCTATGTAAGAAGAAAACAGCATGTTATCAGTGAGGAAAAGCTATTCCCTTTCTGGTGGCCGTCAAAAAGCATCATAAGAAACAGGATGCTGAAGCAAGAAGCCATGCTGTCACTTGGACTGCGTGAACACATGATGATCTTTGCTTCATCCCTGCTGGGGGAGGGATGTGCTGCCGGGAAGCTGCCCAGTGGGACAGCTCTCTGTTAGTGCAGCCCTGGGAACTCACTGCTGTGCCCGCTCCTCCTCCCAGTGCAGGCTCTGCAGATGTTCCTTCCGGGGAAGGCAGCTGTGGTTCTCAGATTCTCCGCTGAATCTTCCTGGTGGTCTGGCCCCACCCGGCTGTGGTGAAGCTGCTCATAGTTTCTGCCTTTCCCATCCCTTCCAAGGACCAAGCGGCAGCAGCCAGAGGAAGAGGGGCTGTCTGTGCCTCCTTCTCCCCTTTCTCCTGTCTCTTGACTGTGCACAGAGGTTACTCCTGCAGTGAATCTGTGCCCTTCCCTTTTTCGCCCTCATGTTTCTTATCCTTTTTTCTGTTTTTTCAAGCAGCATGTAAACAACTGAGAGAAAACTTGAGTGTGTAGATAATCCATATTTACAGTTGGATATAGTCTTAGAGTTTACATAGCAGCTGAGGATGTAAATAAGTGTTGTTTTTTTTCTCCTTGCTTAAGGAAAATGCCCTCTTAGACTGTACAGAAAGGAAGGGTTTGCATTGTTTTTTTTAATTCTCTTGCTTTTTTTATGATCTTTGTTTTCCTTGCGGGAAGGTTTGGATCTCTCCACTCCCCGTGTGAGGACTGTTCAGCTTGGTTCACACATGCGCATGGGCTTGGAAATCCATTTTGTCTGTTTACAAGTTTCAGTTTAAGGGCAAAACCCTGAGGCAAGAAAATGCGTCATTTCAGGACTGTCGTGACCCTAGGGTATGTCCACACCACAGTTGGAAAATGCGCTGACTGCATGCTTAGGCCTCAAAGTCATTTTTATATAGCTAGCTCAGACACACCAGTGTCCAAACTGACCTGAAGAAAAATCAGGTCCTTGCAGAGCTTGGCTGCTGTGGAGTCTGCCGACAGCAGACCTCACCAGAGTAACAGATGGGTTTTTCCCATCCTTTCTGGAGCATACATTTTAGATCAGAACTGTGAAATCTTCTCAGTGTTACAGGAAGTTACCAAGCCATAGCACAGCAGCTGTTTTGTAGCACAAGGGACAGAAAAAGTAAGTGTTGCTAGTTGTGCCACTTCCCATCCCATCATCCCACCCATAGTGCACACTGGGCCTCATCCCATAGCCAAATCGTGAGTGCTCCGTTGCTCATACCCCGTGGGTTTGATCAGGTAGCACAGCCTCGACAGGGTTCACCTGCAGTGAACAGGGAGGATTTGGATCACCGGTTGTTGGGAGAGATTCTGTACTTGGACTTTTCTGTGAGTGTATATACATGGAAATTACAAAGTGCTCTGCTGTTTGCTGATTTCAATTTCTTTGAAATCTCTTCTGAAAATCGACCCCTATTGGGAGGCTGTGAGTGATGATCTACACTCAGATCCCCAGACAGAAATCAGAAATCAGAAATATCCTGTGTTTTTATCAACTCGTACTCTCTTCTTACACATCAGATGCATTTGAGTTTAGATCCATTAGCCTGCTTATTACTTGCTATTAATTAATGTCTTTTTCATATTTTTTACTACAAATAGCAATGAAAAACAATGACAATGGGGTTTCAGAAAAGGTTATCTTTTGGAAAAAAAACAAAAACAAAAACAAAAACCAAAAAAACATTTACAGGGAAGCATATATTTCCAGGCAGATACAGACATAAAGTTACCAATACAACATTACATCCAGGATTAAAACCAGCTTTCCTATGGAATAAACCACACTGATTTTCTATATCTTTTGATTTCCAAGGTGCACTGAGATTTTTGGCCTGCTTTCTCGGCAACACTTAAAGGAGTTAGCTCCCTGGTGTATGCTCTTTGTGCACCTTAGGGCACAGCTTTAACCATGACCTGACCACTATATCAGTGCCCAGGACAGCAAGGTGTTGTGCTGGGGCTGCAGAGGGGTTTGCTGCCATGCTGGAGTCTCCTACTGGCAGATTTCCATCACAAAGAGAATCAGCCTAACATTTATTTTCTGCAAGAGATAGAAAAATACTTGTTCTTAAAGACCTTGCATAGTGTGAAAACTCATGCCAGGCAGTGCAGTATGAGCACCCAGCCCAGCAGCTCGAGCACTGGAAGCAGCTGTGCGAATAAAGGATTTTTCTACTTCCTCGCTGAACTGAAAAATGGGTATGAAGAAGTTCCATAGAACTGGCTTTCTTTCGGGAATAAAAAAAAAAAAGAAAAAGGAAATAAATAAATAAAAGAATAATAATATTAAAAATTAAATGGGACTAAACTGTTTTTAGATGGCTCTTATCTTAAAAAACACGGGTGCACAAGGAGTGCTGTCTGATTGTCCGTAGACTTGCAGTGGGTGATGGCAGCGGCGCCTGGCTCTTCACCTACAGCTGCCGCTCGGGTGTGGATGCTCTGGTATCTGACAGGGGTTCATGTCAAAAGCTTGCTTTTATTTGCAGAATTTAAAGACTTTTTTTCCTCTTCTCTATTAGCTGACTGTTTTCACAAAAAAATGTAGCAATTTGGTTATCTTTGAGACCTCTGTCAAATTCAGTTGAAATCAGGCAATGAGTTCAAACATTATTAGGAGGGAATGTATACAGACACTCTCACAGCTGCGTGTACATCCATGTAGATACAGAAAGATAAATCGAGTCAGCTTTGTTTCTACATGGAAAAAGGGTATAAATAATTATATTTCAGGAAATATTAAAATACATCACTTTGTACAGAAAAGAAAGCAAACAAAATAATTTCTTTAAAGTCATTGACATTAATATTTATATCCATTCCTTCTCTTTCCTTAACACATTTGTGAGTTCCCTTCAAAACCATTAAGTGCTTCAGTCAAACTAAATTTACTTTTTTTTTTTTTAATTGCAAATAGTTTTCTGTAAAATTGCACTTAATGCAGGGAGGATGCTCAACTCACCTAATGACTGGGGGTTGTTGATGCCAAGCACCCATGCACTGGGCTGTGCCCTCTCTCACATTCTAAGGCAGGCAATGATCAGGGGCTGCCACCCACATCCACATCTCTGAAAATCTTTTTCTTTTTTGCCTTCAAAGTGAACATAAAGCCATAAAAAAATTTACTGTTGGAGTAAAGCCGCTATTTACCTTTCTGCATATTGCTGGTTGCATTTGTCTGTTGTTTGCTGCTTTTTCCCTTTTTCTTTGTTGCTGAACGGTTGCTCAGGGGCAAGGATTGAGGAAGGCAGAGCATACTTGAGGAATACTTGAGTCCACAGAATGCTATGTAAAGTGAGCAGTGACAACAGAAATAACTGTGCCTACAGCTTCCTCTTTCCACTCTACTTACATTGCAGCTTTTGGTACATGGTTACAGCCGTGTTCCTCACACTGTGTGGAGCACTATTGCATGGGGCACTTCACCCTTTCTCCATGCTGCCTTTTAGGTGGCCAATGAGCAGTGAATATGGCTAAGGGTGGGAAGGATGCTATCTGCAATTAGTAAGCATTGCAGGGTGGCAGAAAAGCATGTATGAGAAAATTTTGAATGTAACTCTTAATATTATGCATATCCCAGATCCCTCTCAGTTTCTGCTTTCTTGAATTTAAACAGCACCTTGCTATGAGCCCAGAGCATGCATTGGTTAGTAGAGATTTAAGTCAAGATTTTGAATGGTTAAATTCAATTATTAATTTTGATTCAGCGATTAACTTTAGTGGTTCAAAGAGTGCTTGTGCGTTTGCTCTATCAGTCATTTGCTCTGCGCTTAAGGTCAGAGGGCTCTGTTCTTTTTCCCGTTAAGAGAACAGCAGTTCCCTTGACTTTGCCAATGTCTGTGGCAGGGACCAGCCCCTTTGCTAAGCTGTGCTTAGCAAAGCAGAGCTTCTCTTCCCAGAAACAGGAGCTGTGGCTGCTCAAGGTGATCCCTTTGCTTTAAAGTACATCAAATCTGTGCACGTCTGCCTGTAACTACGTATCAGCTGGCGCAGCCCTGCTCTTGCTGGTGAAATTGTGCACGGCTAAGCTGGGTGACGAGGTCTGCTTTTAATTGTGCAGGCTGGAGATAAAGCTGTGAATAAGTGAAATTAAACAGCCCGCCCTTCAAAACCATTAGGACAATCCTGCAGTCCTCGGCCCTTTCTGTAACGAGTTCCGCAATGCTTGCACAGCTCCCAGCTTTCAGCCTTAATTCAACATGGCCCACATGTGAACCCAGCCGATGGATGTGGATTGCCAGGAGGACTGTGCCTTGCTCAGTTGACCTAGGAGAGATGCAGGCCCCGTAGCCAGGGAGCCCCAGATGTCCACTTGCCGCCCGCCAGCACCCAGGTATCCAACGGAACCGGGGGATGATATCGAAAGAGCAAGTGAAGCGGAAATTTAAAGCCCCTCTGCTAATAATAACAGTATAAATAACTGAAGACATCTTGTAAACAGTGCGGTCATAACCCCGAAACATTAAACAGCTCGGTGGGATCTGGCGCATCAGCTGCCGACTGCCGTTGCCGGTGCAGGGAGAGCACCCTGCACTCCTGTTTATCTCAGCCCGATCTCCCGCAGGCACCCTGAGCAACAGAAGGGAGATGTTTGCACTAAAATCCCTGGTACTCCAAGCTGGGCAATAATCCTCAGCCCCATACTGATCTGTCAGTAAGCCAGCTCGACACTCCCACGGCTGCCGCGCAGGAAGGGCCACGCTGGATCCTCAGGAAGGTTAAAAACCCGTGGCTTTGCGGTTATTCGATTAAAAAAAAAAAGAGAGGCAAGGCAGTTTCTTTCTCTCACTGCTCTCCTTCTCCCTGCTGAGCTCAGAGCTGCCCCTGCTTGGGGGGTTTGGTATGAAGATGTTGTACCAACTGTTCCCCCCACTCGTTCTCTCTGGCGCAGGGCTGGACCCCCCGCCCCACCACAGGAAGCCAGGTGCGGTGCTCCCACTGCCTCGTGAGTCGGAAACGAAAAGTACACCGCTCCACGTTCAATGGAAAGGAAGGTTTATTCACAGAAATAGAGCAAAAACCTGCTTGAAGAAAATATATCTATATATCTTTAGGGCGAATGAGTTCATAGAGATGACTGTCAAAGTCAGTCTTTTTTCTAGGCATCTACATATTCCACAGGTCTCAGACAAAAGATACACGTGTGGTAGGTTTTGTTTGATCTCTGCCTTTCCTCTAGTAGCGCTTGAACCAGCAAGGCTCTTGTTGCAGGACACTCGACTGCACACGCACTCAATAAAGTTAAATAGAGTCGGGCTCTCCCGGGGTGGAGTCTCTGCGTTCAGTCTCCGCGGTGCCGTGCCGGCAGAGCGCTCTCCCGTCGCCCTGCCCGGACCTGGGGCAGCAGCGGGGCAAAGCGGGGCCCTGCCCGCGCCCGTGCCCCCTCCCCGGCCGCACGGGGCCGGTGCTGGCGGGGCCGCGGGGCTCAGGATGCCGTCGGGCCGCACAAGCGGTTTGTGTTCACCACTTCTTTCAGGTCACTCTCGGGTTTGCCGGCTACCATAAAAGGCCAGGTCTGTAGCCAGGAAAAGACACGGGTGGTAAGGGGGTTACATACATGAAAAGGCACATCGCGATGCTCATCGAGCCTCAGCGGCAACCCCGGCATCCACAGCCTAAACCGGAGCACGGCTTCAGCCAGGATCCTGTTTTCTTTCCTTGCCTCCCAGCCGCAGCCGGCTCTCCCCGGGAATTGCACTCACCTTGGGAGCAAGGCACATTGCTTGATTCAGTTTGAGCCGAGCTGCTCTATGTGCTGTTATCAGGTCGTGAGCAGTGTGGGGACTGCTCAGAGTGCTGGGTTTTCCTATGAGAGCCGTCCCATGGGGTGACCCCGGCAGCTGAAGACCACCCCTGGTTTGCATCCCTTGCCTATATATACAGCTGGAAATTGGATGTTTCTGCTGGGAACACCAGGGGGGCTGCTGGGGAGTGCTTTCTGGGGCATCCACAGAGCCCTCTGAGGGGTCTGAACATTAATTTATTTCTTCTCTGCGAGTTCACATGGGGGGGTGAGACATGTCCTGGACCCAGCACTCTGAGCGGTTGGGCACAAAGCCTCAAAAGCTCTGCCTTTAAAAGGCTGCGACTTGAGGTTTGTTATGGCAGAAAACTTTATGATAAAGAGGATAGACTGCGTAAATCCTGGGTCTTTTCTCTGCCTGAGTCCTTCCTAAAACATACCATACTCTATCCAAATTCTTATACCTTCCCATCTGAAGGTAGAAAGCTTCTGTCTCGCTCAGGCATTTCAGGCACAGTGCTCCTGCCTTTCTGCTGCCACCCCTGGATGGGATAGCAGGGACCAGTGGAAGGGACTGGGACACTCAGCTCCGGGGACACAGGAAAGGAAGGCAGCTGGGAGTCTGTACCCTTGCTCCACCACCCCTCGTACTGTGTGGCTAGGCACCAGACCCTCTGTGAGAAAGATGTGAAGGTTTCTCCGTGGACATGCCCCATCCCAACTCCTCACCCACCTCTCCCCATCCACACACACACGAGTGCCTGGCCCTGGCGGGCCGTGACTTACCAGGTTGACTGGGTGGATGTAGCCATTTTCGTACTTGTCGTTGGCCAGGATTTGCCTCAGGTGCGCAATGTAGCTGGAGGCCAGCCTCAAGGTGTCCAGTTTGGAAAGCTTGGTGTCTGGGGGCACCCAGGGCAGGGTGGTCTTAAGCCTGGAAAAGGCTTTGCTAAGGACCCTCATCCTTGCCCTCTCCCTGGCGTTGGCAGCGTTTCTCTGGACCTGCTTTCCTTCCTGGCTCACACCATTTAAAGGGCTCTTCTTGGGGGGAGCCTTTTTCCTCTTTCCCGAGGCCCCTCTCCCTTTCTGAGGGGAGCCATTCTCGCCATTGGATCCCTCCTCGTTGCTCTCGTTGGACGCCCCGAACTCTTTGTTAGTATCCATTTTCAGGCCATCGCACTCCAGCATTTCCACCTCTTGCAGATCTTCCACATCACTGAGGGACCCAGTGGACATGGTCTGGAAGATGCCAAAGGGCTGGCGGGAAAGGGGGCGGAGGGGAGGAAGGGGAGCTCCCCAAACCTATGCGGTGGCAGTGGAGGAGAGAAGGGGCACAGCACTTTCCTCCCCTTCTCTCCCCCCTCCGGCACTAAGGCGTGATATAGGTCCAGAGAGGACCCCCACCCTCCCGCCCCCCAACCCTGTTCTGCCTGTGTTTGAGGGAGGGAGTGAGTGAGTGTGTGTGAGCGGGAGAGAGAGAAAGCCGAGGAATTTAGTGAGGACACTAGTAATTTATCTGGGGGATAGGAGAGGCGGATCCAGCCCAGGGGAGGGGCCCTGCCCGCTGAGCACACCACATCCCCAATCACAGACCTTTGCACAGGACAGGGAGTTAGGTATCCCAGCAAGCGCTTGCAGAGAGCCCAGGACTGGGATTGAAATCTTCGCAACTGGAGCAAAGCAACATTCTCTCTCCCTCTTTCTCTCCTCCCTGTCTTTCTATCCTCCCCCTTCCTCCTCCTCTTTTCCTTCCCCACTTCCCTTTCCAGCTAGGGCTGCTCTCCTCCTCCCTGCCTCCTCCATGACCCAGGCGGCTGGTGTCACAATTCTTGACGAAAGCCAAAATGGGTCATGAGCAGAGATCCACCAGCAAAAGCCTTCCAGGGAGCTTTGTGATGCGTGCCGTCTAAATGCTGTCCTGTAACCTAATCTGAGGGAGATTTGTGGATGATTATACTGGAGAGTGCATCCTGTCCAGCTACTAGTGTGTTCCAGGAAAGGAGCACTTGGACCTCGCTATTGCAGCCTGAGCTCTGGAGACAGGAGGAGCTGACTTTTTCCAGGCTTCTCACTGGACCTCTGGGGTATCCCAGTCCTCTCTCTTCACCCAAAATCCCCCAGTGTGCTGGGTGATGGGGACCCTGCATCCCACATAACCAGGCCGGGCACCGTGCCACTGCTGGGGCCAGTGGGGCTGTGGGTGCTGGAGGAGAGGGGAAGAGGGAGCTCCTGGAGGGTAGCGATCACATCAAGCACCCAGAACTTTGTGGCAGAGCAGAAGCTGGAGTTACAGTCTGTTACATGTCGGCAAAATTCTGCTTGTTGCTTGATGCATACTCAAACGTCAGGGAGTTTTGCCTGAATAAACAGGCAAAACAAGGCCCCTGGCTGTGGGGCTGCACAATCAAGAACATCAGGACTTGCTCTGCAGCTGCTGGAATTGAAGAGGAGTTTTACCAAAAGTGTGAATGAGCATGTTGCTGTGTAGCTTGAATGAAGAGCTGCTCAGTGCATTCGTGATTCTTCAGATAGTCTCTGAAGAACAAGCTTTCTAAAGCATTTAGGCAAGGCCTAGCTCTTCTTCCTCACCATGATCAACTTGGTAAAATTTTCAGCTAGACTCATCCGTGGAGCCCCAAAAGCCCCCCAGCAACTCCTTCCTTCTTCACACACCTCACAGCCCCCTCAACTTTCTCAGCAGCCGGGTTGTTTAATGCAGGAGCTGCGGCACTGAGCTCCTGTACATGGCTCTCTTTGGACACACATCCATCATGACTTATCTCATTGCAGGGGAAAATCCAACTATTCAGCTGTCCATCTGAGAATTGGCATAGCTCTGGGCAAAAATTCACAACCCAAGGTGTCGCTGTGGCACACAGTGGCTCTGGAGTTAATCCATGGTAACCGAAGCCAGAAGAAGGTCTTGTATTCACCTGTGGGAGCACTGTATCAGGATTTCTGCATGCACTAAACAAAAAACAACTAACCAAACAAAAATGGTGGAGGGACAAATTAGTGCCTGGTAAGTGCTATAAACTCTCATCAGATTAAAATTTCAATAGGATGCGGAGTACTCTTTTTGACAACTAGCAAGCCTTTCCTCCCTCTCTATCCATCTGGGTTCCTTAGCTTGGTAATCTAGAAGGAAAAGAGCGATCTAAACTTTAAACCAGCTCTTCACTGTTTGGCTGGAAGATAGCACCTTCCCCCTCACAATGGGATAAGTACATTAAGATATCATATCTCCGAACCCCAGGCCCTTGGGAATTCACTAACCTCTAACGTCATGTTATGCTAACCGTGCCCTGTTTGTGTTTTCTCTGTGTATAAACCAAACAGATTGTCAGCATATCAGACCTGATTAATGAATTAGTTTTTTTTTTTTTTCCCTTTCAGATACAAATTATTACTAATCACCAGTGTGGAGATTTATGAGCCTCCTTATTTTCTAGGCCTGATTGTTGTTTGTGCAGGTGGAGATTTAAATGGCTGCATCCACTGCAGAGATTTATAGTCCAAGTGACTGATGTAATAAATAAGCGAGAGGACTCTTATTGAAGCAAGGATGACAGAAAACCAAGTTGAAGTTTCTTGTGTCTCTAAGCATGAATGACCAGAACAGGAATGACTAGCGAGCACAAAACCCCATCCAAGTTTCAGCATCAGAAACTCCCAGAAGAACAAAAGAAAATAAAATAGCATATATTCATGTAATACCTGTCACTTGTTTTTAATTTTATTTTAGTAATTTTTGATTTTGTTGTTTTAAAAACCAGGAGGAATTGTGTCTTTTTGAAAGTGCCTTTAGTGTTCTGCTGCATGTACATTCAGTATACAATATGCATACCTGTCTTTTACAGGCCTTTATAGGTGCTGCACATCTGTAGCTTTTACTGACTTAGGTACATTTTGAATCATTACAGGTGGTAAAATTGTTGTGAAGACAGAATGCTTTTTTCATTTGTTTTGTGCAGATTGTAATCTATGTGTGGTACACACTTACGCTTGTTCATACAGTGTATTGTACTTTCCATATACACAGATTCCTTTCCACATACAGGCTATTATAGTCTTTCAACAACATGAACACTGTCCCTTTTTCTCCCTCAAAGCCAGCTATGTGCAGATCTCAAAAACAGAACTATATCCTCTACTCCCGTTAACTCTTCTTTCCTTATTTATCACATAAGTTGAACCTGTCCTTTTTCAACCTTATTGTTCCTTGTTTCCCTCCTGACCAAACCAGGACTTGTAGCCCTAATCTGGCTTATGTTTCAATCCCTTTCCCCTCACCTTATGCTCTTTGTCCAGTCCTTTGAATTTTGGCCCCAGTTTGGGATAGAGACCAATCAAATCTTGAGCAAAGGATAAAGATGGGATATCTACTGCCACTCTAGGAATGGTGTGGACTCTTCTCCAGCTCTGTGACAGAGAACATAGACCCAGCACTGGGTTAAGAGCTGGCTGGGAAAGACTGGTGGAGCTCAGGTCTTTTTGGCCCTCTCAACTTTTTCAGTAATTTTTTAAGAAAGAAGTTGAAATAGTGGGAAACGTGAGTACAAATATGTGAATTTGCCTTTTAAATGTCTGTCATCTCTGTGTTTCTTGGAAAAGTGTGTATCTCTTACTTCTAATTAAGATCCACAAAGCCATAAGACCATTTAGCACTGGACTTGCTGGGAGCAGAGAAGTGGGATGCTTGGTCTGAAGGGTGTCATATGGGGGACATATTACATGCAGGCTTTTGCTGGTTGGTTAGGGTACAGATTTCCCCTGGAAATAAAGCTCTGCTTTTTATGCTTCTATCCTTCTCTCTCTTGAGCTGGAATAACACAGTAATTTGAGAACAGCTTTGGAACTTGAGGCCAAGATTTCTTAAAGTGTCTAGTGATTTTGCATGGCATGCCTTTTTTTTTTTTTTTTTTTAATTATTCTTTTTTTTCTAGTGTTCTGTGCCATTTGTCTAGGCACCATATCTTCATTACACAATGAACATTTGCTCAGGGAAAAGCTAGATCATCCAAAGCTGAGGAAAACAGAATCAGTAGCTGGTGCTGGAGATCTTGGCCCTGGTAAAATACAGGTATTTTCTTATATTTGGAGAACAACCAGGGAGGTCACTCAGAGGTAGCCAGCTGATCATGAATCATTAATTATGCTGGGTCAGAGTGACCCCAAGCACAAATACAGTCTGGACAAAGAATGGATTGAGAGCAGTCCTGAGGAGAAAGATTCAGGGGTGTTTGTTGATGAGAAACTCAACATGACCTAGCAATATGTGCTTTCTGTCTAGAAAGCCAACCATAATCCTGGGCTGCATCAAAAGAAGCATGACCATGGTCTGTTGGCTATGTATGCTTTTGTGAGACACCAACGTGAAGTATTACATTTGGCTCTGGGGCACCCAGTACAAGAAGGACATGGATCTGTTAGAGTGAGTCCAGAGGAGGGCCATGAAGATGATCAGAGTAGGTGGAGCACCTCTCCTGTGAAGAAAGGTTGAGGGAGTTGAGGTTATTCAGTCTTCAGAAGAGAAGGCTCCTGGGAGACCTTACATAGCAGCCTTCCAGTACCTATAAGGAGACCTAAAAGAAAGCTGGGGAGGAACTCTATCAGAGTGTAGAGACAGGACAAGGGATAATAGCTTTATAGATTTAGATATTAGGAATAAATCCTTTATAATGAGAATGATGCGGCACTGGCACTGCTGCCTGGAGAAGCTGTGGGTACCCCATCCTTGGAGGCATTCAAGGCCATGTTGGATGGGGCCCTGGGCAGCCTGATCTGGTGAGTGGCAGCCCTGTCCACAGTAAGGGGTTGGAAATGAATGGTCTTAAGTTCTGTTCCAACCCAAGCCACTGTAGGATTCTATGAATTATGTTCAGTGAGGTTTGAGAATGGTCAGGAAGCAACATGCAACTAGATTATTGTTTTCATGTTGCAATTTTTATAAAGCTCTTGTTGCACTGAAATTTCTCTGTTTCTCTCTTGGTCTCATTTGGAAACTAAATAAAGAGGCAGAGAGAATTCAAAACGACATCTTTACATACCCTAAGTAAAACAGTATTATTCATCATGGTGTGAGTATATGAGATGAAAGAAAAAAGAATACTGAAGCTGCAACTGAAAGTCACAAGTAATCAGATTTAAAACCACTTTAAGTATCTTCAAACAGAAGCCTGTAATATTTTTTCTAGAGGATTATGTCTTCCCCGTTATGGCAAATGGATGACACTCAGGAAATGAATCAAAGTTATTTACGAAAATGGGTTGACTTCATCAAAAGTGCCAGGCCAATTAAACCCTCCCACATCTCCTTCCTAGTGCTGTGTATCTGTTTCTGGTCTCAGTTTTAGTTTGACAGGTAAAAGATGTCATATTACATAACATACAGTAATAAACCAAGGGAAAAAGTAACGTCACTTTTAAGGCATCAAAAAGGCTATTCTTTGGGAGCACTGTCCCAAGAGGAATGTATTTGTATCTGATACCAGCATGACTACCCCTTCCCTAAGAAGCCCCACTTTCTTGCTTCAAAGTTCAGGGAAGTCAATGCTCTCCTAGAAACAGTCTTCTAGAATAGTTTACCACAGGAGGATGGGAACAAACAATAACAAAATCAAAACACCCAAACCAAATTATTTCCTTATATTCTCATTTAGGAATGTCTAAAAATTTTAGTCATACCTACAATGGGAAATCTGTCTGACCGATTACATAT